ATAGCCACATCTCTAGTTCGTCACCACTCAGTTAGGCATCAGAGCCACCTCTTCAGCTCGTCACCATTCTGAAGGGATGAGAGATCCATTGTATGGACGCTCAAAGATTGTGGAATAAAGGGGGCGAATTTCAAAATTTTTTCTCTCTATTCAACTGGAAATCACATTCCCTATTTAGAAAATCATATTTTCAAGGATCATTCTTGAACCATAAACTGAACCAGATCTGAACCAAAAGGGAGTAGGAGAGGATTATACCTGATACGGAGAAATAGTATCCCCCAACGAAGGTGTTCACGCCCAAGGAAGGATCCAAAAACTACTCCCACTGAATATGGCGCAGTGCAGGATGGAGCAGAATCAATAGTGTTCTTTTCCAAGAACTTTGTCCTTCACACGAATTAGTAGGATGGCACGTGAGCACAACTTCCCATCAATCTTTTCCCAAAAGATTTGTATCAAGATCAGATCTTGATTTCTCCCAAGAACTGGAGATCGAACCGAAGGTAATGGCGGCGGCAATAAGGAGGCGGCAAGAGAGTATTCGCAGGGTGCAGAATTCTCTATTCTTGTGATTTCAGCAGTCAAGAGGATCTGAATCTGTGTCTTCTAAAAGCTGCCGCCCCCTTCTTTCTTTAGTTAACCTAAAAAGATCAGCTCCTAATCCAATTAGGAGCTGCTTATCCAAATCATGTTTGGATCAACCTTCTCTTTAGGTGATAAGGATAAACCCTTGTCTTATCTGAAGGTTAGATCAACTTTCTCCTAATCTCATTAGGAGGTTTCTAGATCTGAATCACATTCAGATCTGGAGTCTCTGAGTGGATAGGGTCTTGACCCTATCCTATCTGCTAATTCATCTCAGAATTCGCCCCATAAATGACTAATTAAATAGCCCAGTTCGAAATGGGCTTTAAGCACATTAAGCTTATGTGCTCACTTAACCTTCCTAACTGCTGCCCAATTGGGCTTCCTTGTATGGCGTGGGACCCAAACATTGATCTCACATCAGCCACATGGGTTCAGCCCAACCTTTGTTACCAGGCCTGGCCGAATACACTGTTATGGACAGTGCACCCCCTGAAACCCATCGAATGGGCTCTATGGGCCCAACACTTACCCTAAGTGGTCCCTGGGCCAAGCCACCTTGTAACACC